GACAGTCTAATTCACTAGCCATGAAAAATTCATGCAAGAGACCTGGTTGCCGTTTTGCCGTTACATCTGGCATGCAATGTGACAACTGTAAAGGTTGGTTCCATGAGGCATGTACAGATCTAACGGCAGCAGCCTATAGCAGACTCAGCAAATCTGATCGTAGGTGGGTATGTGTTACCTGCAACACCGATACGGTAGTTATGTTGGGTACTATCATTACTTTACTGACAGGTCTGAGAGATAAGTTGTCTAAGAATTCGGTAAATGATATCATCATGATGGGTAACAAAGCTGGAACGCATAGGGCAAATAAGAAAAAGGATACTGACAGGTCGGTTATCGACGGTGCTGTTAACAGCACGAGTGATGATGTGCTGAAACTCAGCACCATCTTAACATCGACTGTCATCGACTCCCTCAGTAAACTTGGGTCCCCCGGGGAACGGTCCTTGAATGAGACAGTGGTTCCCAAAAATCCTGTAGGCGGATGGACTCACGTTAACAGGAGTAATAAAGCCCAAGCGTCCCCTCCGAAACTGAACGTCCCAAGTATCGTGCGGAAATCAATTGATGCTTTGGCCGCACAGTCTACACCCAAGACTGTCCGCCCGGTCATCACTGAGCCCAGGAATCGAAAACGCGCCTCGACATCCAAACAACAAGATACCAAACCTAGACGCCCTGGAAAATCTGGGAAATCAATTGCGGTTCGTGACGACTCTGTCATAATCATGAACCTTATTGACAACCCCGACCTTCCTCTCAGTTTGCAGGACAAAAACGATGGGATGCTCTGGGGAGAATTAAACAAGAGGCTTGAACTCCCTAGAATAGAACCTTTGACCGTCACACGGCTCACTCGGGGGAAGGACTCTAACCACCTAAACCACCCGAGGCTGCTTCGTGTTACACTTAAGAATGCCTCCGACGTAGAGGACGTCCTGCCAGCCAGTCACTTACTGAAGTCCGATGGGAACGTAAGAATGCTGCCCGACATACCGTATTCTGAACGAAATCTCATCCGGAACATCCCTAAGGAATCTCGCCAGGCGTTTTTCCGTGGACGAAATATCATTGTGCAAGGTGTACCGGAAAATATGGACCCAGCTCAAGCAAACTCTGATATTCGGGAATGGAAATTCATCAAGCATTCCTTAAAACTCAAGAACATATTGACCCAACAGGTAATGAGACTGGCCAAGAGAGACGAAGACTCTAGGCCCCGGCTGCTGAAGATCACATTCCCCTCCTCCCACATGGCGGCTGCAACTCTGGAAGCATTTCGTGCCAATAGACGTCGGTTGCCGACTGGCATCCATATGCATCCGGATAGGCCCCACGACAGCAGGATCAAGCACAAACGAAAGCTGGATCTGACAATTCCACTCGTGGACTGTCTTGATCATAAAAAAACGTGTAAAGGACAAGGACTACCAACTCGGTAAACATCGTATAGGTAGGCTACCTGTCCACTCACACACGGTTCATATAGACAAACGAAAAGAGGCTCACGCGTTCCAAATTGAAAGCACAAACTGCCTATACATGAACGCCGCGAGCTTGCCAAACAAAATGGATGAGCTACGTGAACTTAGCAACGCTAATGATGCCCATCTGATAGGAATATCCGAAACTTGGATAACGTCTCAGTTTACGGACCAAGAGTTAGCAATAACTGGGATGTCTTTATTTCGCAACGACAGAAAAACAGGAATGGGGGTGGGGTAGCACTATACGTACGGTCATGCCTGGATGCGCACCAATTTCACAACCAAGAGTTTCACAATCTTGACGAGTCAGTATGGTGCTCAGTAAGATTATCTACCACCTCGAGGTGCCTAGTTGGGGTCGTTTACAGGAAGCCCACTGCCGACATCGAATATGGCAAACGTCTGCTGGAAGGATTAACTCGCTCTACGCGTCTCGGATTCTCTCATATCCTGATTCTAGGGGATTTCAATCTCCCTAGAATCAACTTCGTGAAACATACATACATTGGTGGTGCCAACTCTACTGAAGCTCTGTTCTTCAACCTTATCGGCGACCTGGGATAATTTGAAAATGTGAAGTCGGCAACCCGTTGGAGAAACAGTCAGACGCCGTCACGCTTAGACTGGGTATTCACAAACGAAGAATTCCTAGTTGACGACCTCTCAATCCTGGCTCCCCTGGGCAAAAGTGATCACGCCGTCTTGTCATTCAGCTTTGTCAGCAAGACAGAGCTACGATATCCTACTAGCAACAAGCGCTGGAACTTCAAGAGGTTGAATGTGTTAGCTTTACAGGACTATCTTCAACAGGTGGATTGGGATGTTCGACCTCAAATTGAAGTGGATGCTCATTGGGATTTTTTACTGCACACGATCTTATGTGCTACTGAGCATTCAGTTCCTAAAATGGTCCCAAAAAGCTACAAGCAACCTCCAATCATCAAGAACCGCACTCGTCGTTTGCTGAGCCGCAAAAGGCACTGTTGGGCTGAATATAAACGAACTGATAACAACGGCGCGGACAGGCAATACAAACATATAAGGAACATATGCACAAAGGCAATAAGAGAAGACAGGCTTCAGTTCCAGACCAAGCTTATCGATAGATTTGTCTCCAATCCGAAGAGCTTATTCCGTTACGCAGCTTCTCTTCGACAAGGCAAAACTGGAGTTTCCCAACTGCTTGGTCCTAATGGCCCGACCAACAACTACAGTGATGCCGCTAACCTTTTGGCTGAACATTACTCCCGGACATTCCAGTTGACCCACATCAACCATACTGACGAAAGCTTCACCTGCACCTGTACAGGACTTTCCGAATTGGACCTGAGTGCTGACTTGGTGCTCCGTAAACTGCAGCACCTAAGAAAAGACATTTCTCCTGGTCCGGACATGGTTCATTCCGCTGTATTGAGGGAAGCAGCTTCAATCCTGGCGACACCACTTAGAGTGATGTTTGCACACTCGCTAAGCAGAGGCAAACTACCGGAAATATGGAAGCTGGCCCACATCACACCAATTTTCAAAGGAGGTTGAGGCAGTGAACCCTTAAGCTACCGACCAGTGGCCCTTCTCTCCACACCTTCAAAAATTATGGAATCCCTAGTATTCGACGGCATACTAGAACACTTATCATCCTCAAAGTTCTTCTCGCTTCAACAGCATGGTTTCAGAAAAGTTCATTCTTGTATGACCAACCTACTGACTGCGGTGGATAGATGGACAACCATCCTTGATCGCAAGGGGAAGGTTGATGTCATCTACCTGGACTTCTCAAAAGCTTTTGGTAGGATCAACCACACATGTCTTATCAAGAAGCTTGGACGATTGGGTATAAAACCCCCTTTAATTGACTGGATCACTTCATACCTAGAAAACCGACACTTTAAGGTCAGGGTTAACTTCACCCTCTCTCAGGCTATGGAATGCCCTAGTAGGGCCCCCCAGGGTTCAATACTAGGACCTCTTCTCTTCTTGATTTATATTAACGATCCTCCTCAAGAAGTTTCATCTGACTTATTGCTTTTTGCTGATGATGTGAGACTTTGGAGAGAGAGATACGTAATCATAATGATATACTAGTTCTTCAGGAGGATCTAACCCGACTTCAAAGTTGGGCAGACGACAACGGACTTACCTTCAACACTTCAAAGTGCAAGGTAGTCCATCTGAGACATGTTGCAGACTATAGTTATAACTTAGGTAACTCACCTCTAGAAGTTTCCCAAGTTGAAAAAGATTTAGGAGTGTTGGTACCCTACGACCTGAAATCGTATGCGAACTGTGACAAAAACGCCTCTCAAGCAAACCTTGCACTGGTAACATTGAAGCGCATTTTTGGCCAGTTTGACGGTAGAACCTTCAACATAATCTTCAACAGTTTTATTCGTCCCCACTTAGAGTACGGAAACATAGTATTTCCTCCCTCCCTCCAAAAGGATAAGGACACTCTGGAACGTATACAACGTCGAGCCACGAAATCAGTTCGGGGTCTCAAATTCAAACCTTATGAAGAGCGCCTCAAATCATTTTACGTTTACTCGTTAGAGTACAGGCGTCTTAGAGGTGATCTTCTTATGACTTACAGTATCCTTAATACTTCTGGTCATCCCTTTAAACAACTTCTTAAGCTTAGTCATAGCACTAACCTGAGAGGTAACACCCAGAAATTGGAGACCCTACATAGCAGAACAGACTGCAGACACAGCTTCTACTCCGTTAGAGTTGTCAAGTGCTGGAATTCGCTGCCGACTGAGCTAGTCCAAGCGACCTCCCAGGAGTCCTTTAAGAGGAAACGTGACTAATTCTTAAGGACTAAAAATAAAATATTATTATGATTTACCAAATTCTTTTTTTCCCTCTATTATCGTTCATATACCTAGGTTCTTGCCTGGAGGTATTGGTGATCCACTGCTACCAGACAAGGAAGCCCGTTAAGCGAAAGCTTCTTCTATTCCGTCCTCAACCATTTGAACCATTTCGAACAAGTGATATCAGCTCCATCAGTGAACATTTTCAAGGAGAAACTGAACCTTCACTGGAAGGCAATCTGTCAGGATTAACACAGGTTCATCAACCTAATATCCATATTACTGAAGACTGTAAGGTCTTGTTCTTGCTGTTTTCTCTATTGAAATACAGATTGACCTTGGTCAAAATTTAGAATATATGCCAGGCATGACATCAGATGCCACTGGTCTTGACATAGTTCTTGGTTCGTCCGCTGGTTTTCTAAAAGGTATTGCCCCTAAATGAAGTTTATTTGCATAGGAATTTCAATTCGTAGTCACACTTTATCTCCACTTTCGCTTATTAAGAATGAAAACATTAATACAATGTGCTGGTGTGGATCGGAAGTTTGTTAATTTTCGTATATTATTTAGCGCTTATTGGTTCTTTTTGGGTGCTGTTCTGGAAAGCTTTATAGTTTAGACACCAAAAGTCAGTCAGTTACTCTTATCAAGCAATTCTCAAAGTTTGAAGAAGATTCTATCGTTTCTCTGCAGTCACATGACAAGTTAGTGTGCGTCTTTGATTATTAAGTCAGATTTATCCTTTCAGCTCACTCATCAGGAGACATTAGAGTTTTTTCCCACGACCTTACTTCAGAGAAAGTACGACTTCCGAGTTGGTTGATCACTGATTTTTGTAGTTTCAGCTAAATGCATCGGGCTTGATTTGCTCAGCAAAACTAACAGCAAACCAAGTTGTCGCCGGGGGTAAAGAATTAGCTTTGCGGGTATGGGATATAAATAATCATGGTTCGCCAATTTTCACTGCTAAGAACGTTCGCTCTTCTGTTCTGGAACTTTCTGTCCCCATATGGATTTCTGATGTTAGCGTGGTCCCTAAATCTAATGGAAAGCTCATATTAACTGCCTCAAGATATGGTGAGGTAAGCTCTCAAACGTTTTCTGTGACTAAGATGCTCTCCATTCTTCAGACAAAGCGAATAAAATAGTCGTCAGTCACTATTGCTAGGAGAAACTGATTTTTGGAAAATCTAAATAGTTATTAGACACCGTATTTCCGTTGATTCTACCAATCTGATATGTTAATGAGATTACCTTAGTTTTTGTGTAAAGATGTTTCGAATGTTATAAGCCGAAGATCGAAATCCCAAGACCTAATGTTTATAAGGTTCAGCTAACACAGGGAAATACAGTGAAAAATAACACTCTTATTCGCTAATAGGTCCATTTTGTTTCCCTTCATTTACATCGCCGCATTGTCTTAGGTGTTTGTTACTTGTTCGTTCATGGGTTTCTTCTGATAAAGCTCCTTTTTGTGTTAATAAAAAGTTATTTGACGATGTAAGTTGACACTAGTATACCTACTTGGTTTAGTTGGATGTAATATCATTTACCTGATGTGTTTAACATTAATCCTTAGCGAAAACCAATAAAATGCCTTTGTGTTTTAATGTAGCTAATATAACATTTATTCTGCGCCTTTAAAGTAGTTTGTTGAAACATTTACTCGTTATTTAGTTTTCGTTTGATCTGCATGTATTACTGTTTCACTACTCATATTTAGTTTGACATATACGATCTTCGATGTGGCCAACGTCGACCTGTTGCTCGTCATGCATGGCGTACAAGTCGCAAACATGGAAAACTTCATGTTGGGTCCGGAAAGCACAGTGCAGTACTTCCAGATTTGACCACTACCAGACCAATCACAAAAGCAGTAGCTTACGATAACTCTCCAGGCATAGGATTACGTGTTGTTGCTGGGAATGCAGTTGGTGAATTATCTGTTTTGGATTTAAGACTCCCTCCAGAATATTCAAATTTGAATTTCTTTGATGGTTCTGGTGCTATACCAGTTAGAAGCTACGGATCTCGAGCACCTGACCCACCTTCTGGTGTTCGATGTCTTGCTGGGGCTTCAGGTTGTATAACGCAGTTAATATGTAGTGGAGCTGATGAAGAAAATACATTTCCGTTCATGGAAGCAGCTGTAAATAGTGAACCAGTTATTGTAGCATCTTCACTAGATCGGTATTTGCGAATTTATAATCGCGATACTGGAAAGCGCCTTGGAAAGGTAATGCCAAACATTCTAGAAGTTTTATTACAAATTTCTTCTGGTTTTCCCTTATTTTGATTGCTGAAAATTTCAGTAACAATCACGATTAAGTCCATGATGTTGTAGCTTAAGGGTCAGTGGTCATCTCATTTTTCTGCGTAAATATGATGATAAAAAACCAGACTTTTTGACGTGGTAATGGGGTTCTATGAAAATGTTCTGTTTGAATGCGTTTTGAACGTAAACTGATTGAAGAACCACTGAAATCTAAAACCTACTAGATAGTTTCTTTGGTCTAAATTCAGCAGCACTCATCTAGATAATATAACACACCCAAGGTCTCGCATTGCGTTGAGCACGAGGAGTGATATATTGCAACGTTAGTGTGCTAGATAATCAAGGAGGCCCTTTCACTGACCGATAGGAAGGACAACAGTGCAACTGATCTCTTGTTACATACTATTATTATTATTATTATTATTATTATTATTATTATTTAAACAAATATATGTACAAAAGGGCACCAGATATATATACGCCGCACAAATCTCATTTGATTTGTGTGAGGGCTATGATACTGCCCTAGTGCCCAGACTGAAGCAGGTGGTTTTCTTAGGGGGCCACACCCCGAGCCTTTGACCCGAAGGTCTAGTCCGCAAGGCAGTGGAGCATCGTGAGGAGATGCAGTTCCATGGTAGCCGGTGACCAACGATTGATTCATACGCCATCTAAAGCAAGGAAAAATAAGGGGTCCTTATAGATTAGTGTTGATTATTTTTAGACATGGTGGTTCACTTTCAGAAGTTGGATTGACTAAGATATAAGCTATGATCTGCGAACTGAACATAATACAGTATGACCGGTCTCGATCACTAATCCTCCTAGTTTATGAGAAAAAACAAGTTTTCCTATTGCGACCAAAAGTCAATCAGTTTGATTAATGTAGTGTCCAAAGTATATGCTTTAGTAGTCATCCAGCACTTAACGGATTCGTAAAGGGGGGAACCAGGTTGGTTTTAGTCCTTGGCGTAGATGTGACGACCAAACATTTGCCTTTTACTAGCTTCTGAAACATATACTTTCTAACGTTTATTTACAGTTATATACTTTGACCTGAAGGCAACATTCGACTATGTTGACCGAGAAGTCCTATGTTTAGTGTTTGACGTTCAAAGGCTTAAAAAGTACATTAAACTTGTACAGGCTTTCTACTAGAACTTACAGCTTATAGCAAACTGTTATCAGAGTCGGCAACCTCAAGTGGCGTTCGTCGGGGTTGTCGACGTTCTTCATGCTTATTTAACTTTGTAGTAGAAATTCCTTAGAGAAAGACGCTTGCGTCATCTAATTTTCAGTAATTCATCATTTATCAAGAGATTCACTTGTTGACTTAAAATACACCGATGACAGTTCTGTTTGCTAAGGACTTTAACAAAATACAGTCTTTTGATCATCTGGGACAGCAATACAAGTATGCCTGGAATAGTCATCTCTCCCTCTAAGTGCAGAATGTTGCTTCAGGACTAGTCTGTGTAAACGCCTAAAATAATGATAGGTAGGAGGGTTGGGCATGGAGTCAGCAACCTCATCACGTAGAAAACAACCTGGCTGAAAAAATTCTAATCAGAATAAACAAGTTAAACCATTAAAACCATACCCTTCAAGCTGAAGGATCTTCTCTCAGAATTATGACGCATCATAGTGAGTGTCGAGATTGTTCGGAAGTCACGGGACCCATGCACCTTCGAACAACCAAAGCAACAATTAATATAGGTACTAGGAGTGTTCGGACAATGTGATAAACCGGAAGGACCAGTCAAATAGAAACGGAAATGACGAGACAACTTGGCGATTCTCGGAATCAGCAAAACCCATTAGACCCAAGCTGGACAGAAAATACTGGGTTCAGGAGAGATGCTGTTGTACTTTAATCATGAGGACGCAAATGCTCCGCACACGAAGAGGTTTGCTCTGATGCTGTCCAAAGAAACACGAAAAGCACTTATAGGATAGGGATCTCATGGATCCAGAATCATCAAAGTATCATTCAAAACAAAGGAGGTGATCAGGAAAAAAACACTGGAGGTGGATAAGACATACATTGTGAAAACCATCAAACTTCATCACGAAGCACATGCTTACTTGGAATCTTGAGGGGAAACGGAGAAGAGGGAGTTCAAGAAACACTGCTCCGAGAATTGAAAACAAATGCCAAAAAGATGAATAGCAACTTTAAACAGCGGGAAGGGATTGCCCAGGACAGAGCCGGATGGAGAATGCCGGTGAGCAGCCTATGCTCCTCGACGATGGGTGACATGCATAAGTAAGTAAGGACTTTCGCAAGCCTCCTAGTATTCTATGATTTGCTGTTCTTCAGTAGATATTATTATTTTTAAACTATACAAAATTTCACGAAACCGTCTTAGTAAGTACTACATGTCTGCCAACTGATAACTGGTTCTCATAAGGATTCTCTGAGGGGAATTTGTATTGAATTATGGTTTGATAAAGGAGAGAAAAAGGTAGTCAATATGTCACTTATTTACTAATGAGTTAATGGCTTGACGAGTTAAAAACAAATCATTGGTTCCAGTTACTACTGATGTTTGTTTTCGATCATCAGATAGTTGAGATAAACCGGTATCATTACATGGTTTGCTTAAAATGAAGTACGCGGAAAGTTATGAATAAATTAATGTCATGAGACAGTGTCCCTTACATACTGAGTGCACTCATGGTTTATAACAGTGTAGTAAGGTTTCATAATGTATAGCAAAACATATTTTAAAGTCCGTATTCCTTTATATACTCTAGCTCTATTTCTACTTTGCACTCTATGTCAATTTCATTATGAATTAAGCTATGTATAACGCGTTTTATTATATTTGTTATTCTTCTGTTTTTTTAATTGTACAACAGATATATGTTAAAGTCCCTGTAACATCATTTCTTGTTCGTAGTAATACAAGCTTTGAGAATATTGAAAACTTTTTAAAAAAAGACGATGACAATGTTTCAAACAAAGAAGAGAAAGTTGAAAGTTCTTACGGCATATCTAAGGCAGAACAAAAAGAATTCGAGGACTTGTGGGATCAAATACCAGTTGTCGAAAATGATAATGACGGTGTTAATGAAGGATGTAAAAGGACCACTGGGCTTAAAACTGGTAAACGGAGGCGCAAGAAATAGAGAATAGTTGATACAGTGTTGTGCCATATTTTGTGTATAAAATATTAAGAAGCAAATGAAACTAAAAAGGACTTTTTATATAACACCGGTTAAATATTATGGATGGATTATCAGTAACTCTAATTGTAACACTTTGCTTCAGGACTAAAATCATTTTGTCCCAGTTAGGTCGTTTTAGATGTTGAAACTCGGTTCATCGGTGGAATTTTTTCGTAAAAACGGTATGCACAAGTTTCACAGTAGGTTTTCAGTCGTAATGTAGAATCCAATTTCCACTGACTCACTAGCTGGATTTATTGTTATTGCGTTTCCAATTGAAACTCACACTCGCCTGTTGGTATTGCTAAATCTCACAAGAATCGTAACCCCATGGCATTCTTGATATAATACAATTAGATGTTTAGATCTAAAATTCCTACAAATTATTAGTTAGTCTAGTTTTAATCATTTCTCAGTGCTATTTGATTCTGTTTTAAGTTTTACCACAAGGCTTCCTTATAGAACAAAAGTGGTTTCAAGGTGTGTGTTTATGACCTCCATTCCTTGTGTCTAAAATCATAGCTACATTAGTAGTTTCCAATAGGTACTTGTAATTTATGAGTTACTGTTTCCTTGTACTAACTTACGCACCTAATTAGATTTCAGTTGTGTTTGTTCAACAACGAGCAAATGTATAGCGATTAGATGCCTGGCATTCTGATTAGCTCACTACAATCAGTAAGCCTAATCACTACATCAAAGTAGCAACTGTCTGTAAAAGATTAGAATTTATACGATGATGTAGTGAGGTGGATAAATCAATAAGTTGGGCCCGCAATAAGACCAAACGTTAGCCTACTGACCAACTATTAAAAGGGTGTTATTGTTGTACCTTAATAACCATTGATCCACTTTTTTTGCAGCGAATTAAGTGAGTCTTCGGAAAATCACACCTATCAGTCCTGTTGGATGAGCTTTTGTAACTGGTTTAGTTTGGAGGTAATATGCGTCACGAACCTACGTCAGTTGGCATACCATCGAAAGCCAGGATGGACTTGAAGTGGTAATTAGGCGAGCTCCTCCTTGTCACGATTGGAATAGTCTTTATCAGTGGCATTGAATAGTTTCGCTATACCACCAATTAACCAAAGTCAGAAGTATGTACCACTGGACGACAACTCAGTGACACCTCAACATCCTATGTTTGATTGCTGTCAGGGTCATAGGTCCTCAATTCAGAGAAGTCCCATATTACGTTCAGTCATTTGTTAGTCCGTCACTGTTTTTCCTGCAATCGAATAAGTATAGATACGCAAAAATAAAGTATGTTATGTCAATGTGATCTATCGATTAGATCTTACTTTCAGTGGTTGAAATATTCAGTCCATAAATCAGCTGTATCATTCAATATGGTTTTTACGTCAATTCAAATTCCTTTGGATTCATAACAAAGTTGGTATATTGACAACATTTCTGTGTTACTAAGTGGTGCAGCTTCGCATTTTATAGTGTCGTTCCCTTCAAGTTTGGAGATACTGCCTTGCTCACAAGTACCAACTGATCATTGTCTTAGTGGTTTGGACAACCGGATAGTATTACTAAATTTCATACAGTGTGTGGTTTAAAACCAAGTATATGAATCTATACCTGGTAAATGGGTTTAAAGATATCAGTCTTTTCACTAATTTCCTTTAATTACAACAGAAAAAAAGACCATTTCAATATCGAGTTACCTAGAGTGGTGATCATATCATAGAGTAGACAAACACAATATTGGATACTGCTCAAATATTAATTCGTATGAAATTCACTTAATATTTCCAATGACACAATTCTGAAGCTTTTTATTCTATCTCATACCATTATCACCAACAAGGTCAGTAGATTTTTAAGTTATCAAATTGTATGTTTGATTGGTGTCTTCCCGATAATGTTGCACGTGATGAATATTGTGTTCTAATTAGTTAGATATTTAAATTATAATGAAATAATTAATTTATTGATCAACTAATTTAAATGACCATTATTTGAAAAGAAGTTTGTACAATCAATTGTCTTGTTTTTCTTTTATAATTTTTTTATCGTTTGAATAATCGGTTACTATTGAAACACTGAAACAATCCATAGATTTTATGATTATAGCATCTTTGAACAGAGAAATGAGAAGACAAATTTTGTGAGATAGTACCATTTCGTGCTTTCTCGTCAGTCACATACAAGCAACATGTTATTCGTGTAAATACAGTTTTGAAGATAAGGTCAAAATTTCTTATTTAGCAAGACATTCATTCACTAGAACCATGGTAAACAAAGGTCAACGTACAGTTGTTTTTGAACACATAAAGTTGGACTTTTGCGACCAATCAAGATAGCTTCGAGTAGTTTGAGTGTGTGTGGGTTTTGATGACATGTCACAACTCTAAAGGCTGATTTTGGGTCAATTTGATGACCACTCATCATTAAATGTTTTGCAATGGACGAGGCTGGGTTTCTTGATCGATCTTGAGATGACGGGCTAGGTGGATGAATCATGGATTTGATTAACCATCTCGGAATATGTTCCCCTATCCTGTCCTCCGATCGGCGATCTGTCCTACCTAAGTAACTTTCTCCGCAGTTACATGTGAATTGGTAAATACAGTGGGATTTGGACTGAATCGGTCTTGGAGACTTGATAGGGTTAACTGAGATCGATTGAGTTGTTGTGATAAGCCTCAGATTAGCTGCATTGAAGGTCTTTTTATTGCAGCTGCAGTCTGTTTAGTTGTAATTTTCATGCAATGATCACCCTTGAAAGGTAACTGTAGGTATACTGGTTTCTTGGGCACATCCGTTGCTATCAGTTTCGTCGTATTTCTGTTCTGATGACCAATAAACGTTTCAGGATATCCGTTTAATTTAAGTGTCTCAGTAATAAACTTAAATTCGTCGTCCAATGTATCTACAGTGCAGATTCTACTTGCCCGAGCGAATAAAGTTTTGACAATAGAACCTTTATATTGTATGGGGCAGAAACTAGTGAAGTGGAGGTACTGTCCCGACCAGGTGGGTTTGCGATGTACTCTGCGTCTGATCGATCCGTCTGGACGGCGATGGAGCAGGATGTCGAGGAAAGCTAGTTCATTATTGTTTTCTTCCTCATAAGTGACTTTCAGATTCGGGTGAATTGCATTAAATAAATCATTGACTTGGTTAATATCTGTAGACTGTGGTAATATGACAAGAATATCGTCGACATATCGTTTGTAAAGTGTAATACCATCAATGAAGTGACTCACTTGCCTTTCTATCATTCCCATGAATATGTTTGCTAAAACAGGTCCGAGAGGGCTTCCCATAGCCACTCCATCGATTTGCATATATGCTTTACCTTGGAAATAGAATTTTATATTCTTTGTGCACAGCAAAATTAGATCTCGAAGATAGGTAGTAGGAATGGGTATTCTTATGTTGTGTGAAGTTATGAAATCACAAATAAATTCCACAGTTTCTTCGAGAGGTACATTTGTGAACAAAGAGTTTACATCGAAAGAACACATCCGACTATTAGAAATATTCAAGTGTTCCAAGGTTGGGAGAAGTTCAAAAGAATCAATGACAGTATGTGTCGACAGTTGTTTACAAACAGGATCCAAAATTCCTTTCAACCACTTTGCTAGCTTATGGTATGGTGAATTTATCATGGACAAAATTGGTCTCATAGGTGTTCCAGGCTTATACGGTTTCGGTAAGCCATACATTTCTGGTGTGCATGTACCAATGGGCTAATCTGAGGCTTATCACAACAACTCAATCGATCTCAGTTAACCCTATCAAGTCTCCAAGACCGATTCAGTCCAAATCTCACTGTATTTACCAATTCACATGTAACTGCGGAGAAAGTTACTTAGGTAGGACAGATCGCCGATCGGAGGACAGGATAGGGGAACATATTCCGAGATGGTTAATCAAATCCATGATTCATCCACCTAGCCCGTCATCTCAAGATCGATCAAGAAACCCAGCCTCGTCCATTGCAAAACATTTAATGATGAGTGGTCATCAAATTGACCCAAAATCAGCCTTTAGAGTTGTGACATGTCATCAAAACCCACACACACTCAAACTACTCGAAGCTATCTTGATTGGTCGCAAAAGTCCAACTTTATGTGTTCAAAAACAACTGTACGTTGACCTTTGTTTACCATGGTTCTAGTGAATGAATGTCTTGCTAAATAAGAAATTTTGACCTTATCTTCAAAACTGTATTTACACGAATAACATGTTGCTTGTATGTGACTGACGAGAAAGCACGAAATGGTACTATCTCACAAAATTTGTCTTCTCATTTCTCTGTTCAAATTTATCAAAGGGAACCACTGTTTTGGATTATAGTATCATTTGTTACTGTAATGAATCTTTTATACTCGACCATTTGTAACTGATGTTATGTTTATCTTTCAGTTGTATATTTATTTGAACACATAAACATTGGTACAAAGGGAGCACCAGATATATATGCGCCACACAAAAAATTGTCATTTCATTTAATTGTGTGAGGGCTATGATGCTGCCTAGGTGCCCTGATTGAAGCAGGTGGTTTTCCTAAGGGGCCACACCCAGAGCCTTCGACCTAAAGATCTGATCCACTAAGCAGTGGAGCATTGTGAGGAGATGCAGTCCCATGGTAGCCGGTGACCAGCGATTGATTCATACGCCATTTGTCCCCTCAGGATAGTGGAGCATTGGTTTTGAATCAGGGTTTTCCAACTCCCTTAGGTCGACCCTCCGTACCCACCGACCCGATTAACGCTTCGGACATTCGCTTTTCGTTCTCAATTTCGTAAACAACAGTAGGCCCCCGAATGCCCTGGTACGGCCGAGAGTGGGGAGAGTCTACTCTCCCTCTCGAAATGCTCTCACATGGCCAGCGAATATATAGCCTCTGCCAGGGAAGTCCTACTCACTGCCTTCTCGTGGCGGGGGTGTTGTTTACGAAAGTGAGAGGACGAAAAGCGAATGTCCGGCGCTATAACCGGATTGGTGAACACGGAGGGTCCACCTAGGGGAGTTGGAAAAGCCTGATTCCAAACCAGTGGTGCACATGGGCTCCAGTATCCTGATGGAACGAATGGCGGAAGAACCTGTCATTGGTCAACGGCTACCATGGGACTGCATCTCCTCACGATGCTCCACTGCCTTGTGGATCAGACCTTTAAGTCAAAGGCTCGGGGTGTGGTCCCCTAAGAAAACCATCTGCTTCCGTTTTGGGCACCCGGGCAGTATCACAGCCCACATACAAATGAATGAAATGATGAACTCTATTGACGATAATATCCCTGCTCATACTAAAAGCAAGACAATTTACATTATTATTATCACCTTTATTATTATTATTATTTACCATATTGTGGGGCGCATATGTACCTGGTGCCCTTTTGTACCAATATATATGTGTTTAAATAAATAATAAACAACAGTAGTGTCACGAGAAGGCAGTGAGTAGGACTTCCCTAACAGAGACTATATACGCGTGGCCATGTGAGAGCGTTTCGAGAGGGAGAGCGGACTCTCCGCACTCTCGGCAGTATCAGGGCATTTGTGGGCCCAGACAGCTCAGTGGTAACGTCTCTGAGTGTGAAGCTGGATGACACGGGATCAAATCCATCAGGGAACGTCAATCCCTTCAAGATTACAGGTACACCTTGCTGACGAGTGCCAAGTAGCACGAAGCCTAGGTTCAGGGTTTCAATCGTATATATAAATATGCATTAAGAAATCTTGTATTCATCAAACAAAATAGTTTTTTGTTGTTGGAGTAGTTATGTTTATTCTAAATCATTTTGGAAAGAATAAATTTCTGATGATATACGTACATATGTATAGAAGTTTTAATTGAAATTGAAACTAAATTTAAAAGAAATTAAAACATTTGGTATACTTTACAGTTATTTATCCAATATACATAAATTTCAATTATGATCATTTGTAAAATTAATGCTTATAAGGTGGATTAAAATTGCAGTTATCTGATATACAAGTAGTTGATTTTCGACTAATATATCTGTTAGTATCCAACAATGGAAATATACAAAATTTTTTGACCTTTGAATATTTATCACTGGGAATAAATGTTACAATTCTATCTAACTTGTAATGAATTTCATTAGTTTGATACTGTAAGAAAATTAGATATTTGGAGAACAGTTCCATATTGTGAGTAGTACATTATCAAAACGTATTACAAATATCATCAGTAGTAAAGTCAAAACAATTTTTAAATTCCACAATGTTTCATAACTGGTTTTAAGAAATAAAGTAGAATAATAATATCTGGTACTTTGAAATATATTTGTAGCTGGTAATCGACTTCATACAATAATAATAATAATAATGGCAGGGTATATTCTGAAGAGATTGGTAGGATGTCTATTCATAGGGGAACTTATCTTTTACCTGGGCATTTGGACCACCTAGGGGAGTTGGAAAACCCTGATTCAAAACCAACGGTGCACATAGGCTGCAGTATCCTGAAGGAACAAATGGCGTATGGATCAATCGTTGGTTACCGGCTACCATGGGACTGCATCTCCTTACGATGCTCCACTGCCTAGTGGATCAGATCTTTAGGTCGAAGGCTCCGAGTGTGTCCCCTTAAGAAAACCACCTGCTTCGGTCTGGGTACTAGGGCAGTATCACAGCCCTCACACAAATCAAATGAGATTTGTGCGGCGTATATATATCTGGTTCCCCTTTGTACCAATATTTATGTGTTTAAATAAATAATCTTTTACCTATTTCTACTAATCTCCCGTTTTTTTTACTAGTGACAACTTGATAAATGAGATTCAAGAATTATGAAAATGTACATCACAATAATTCATTTATTAAATTAAT